GGAACATAACAAAGCTCCAGGCCCAGATGGTTTCCCGGCAGAATTCTATCAGAATTTTTGGGATATCATCAGGTATGACCTTTTGGAGTTGTTTAATTGTCTTCATGCCGACAAACTTGACCTATTCAGACTTAATTTTGGCGAGATTGTCTTGTTGCCCAAGATTAAGGAGGCCGAACGGATCCAACAGTTCAGATCCATATGCCTCCTTAATGTCAGCTTCAAAATTTTCACCAAAGTGGCTACGAATAGGTTAAACTCAGTAGCTGAGAATATTGTCCAGCCATCTCAAATGGCTTTCATGCAAGAAAGAAATATACTTGATGGCATAGTAATCCTACATGGGACCATCCATGAGATGCACCGGAAAAACATGAGTGGAGTCGTATTCAAAATCAACTTTGAAAAAGCCTATGACAAGGTCAAATGGCCTTTCCTCCAACAGTCCCTAAGGATGAAGGTTTCTCCGATAAATGGCGTCAGTGGACCCATAATTTTGTAACTGGAGGTAGTGTGGCCATCAAAGTCAATGATGACGTAGGCCATTACTTTCATAGAAAAAAGGACTACGACAGGGTGACTCCATGTGTCCAATGTTATTTAACATTGTTGCTGACATGTTGGCTATTTTCCTTGAGCGCACCAAGCAGGATGGCCAGATTGCAGGAGTAGTGCCACACCTTGTGGATGGTGGCCTCTCTATTCTGCAATACACCGATGGCACAATTCTCTTTATGGAACATGACCTAGATAAGGCTCGAAACCTAAAACTCTTGTTGTCAGCATTTAAGCAAATGTCGGGTCTTAAAATTAATTTCCATAAAAGTGAACTTTTTTGCTTTGGAGAAGCCGTTGAGGCGGCGGCCGATTATGCTGACCTGTTCGGTTGCACACATGGCCAATTCCCGATTAAATATCTGGGAATACCGATTCATTATCGGCGTCTCACCATTGCGGAGTGGAAGCATGTAGAGGAGCGGCTAGAGAAACGTTTGAGCAGTTGGAAAGGCAAATTACTCTCAGTTGGAGGACAGTTGGTTTTGATTAACTCTGTCCTCACAAATATGGTTCTTTATATGCTCTCTTTCTTCCAACTCCCAAAAGAGGTCCTGCAAAGACTGGACTATTTTAGATCCAGATTCTTTTGGCAAGGAGATGGTGAAAAGAAAAAATACAGGTTGGCCAAATGGAGTGTGGTTTATAGGTGAAAAGACCAAGGTGGCCTTGGAATTCATGACCTGGAAGTCAAGAATGAGGCCCTACTTAGTAAGTGGTTGTTTAAACTTCTTACTGAGGATGGTGTTTGGCAAACCATGCTGCGCAACAAGTATCTAGGTCAAAAGGCGGTGTCTCAGGCATATTGGAAACCTGGTGATTCACATTTTTGGGCTGGCCTAATGGCAGCAAAGAAACATCTCTTTCGCTTTGGGTCTTTCACGATAAAGGACGGGTCAAAGGTTCATTTTTGGGAAGACATCTGGCTAGGCAATGCCAGTCTGCGAGAACAATATCCAGCCTTGTATAACATCGCTCGCGATAAGAATAAAACTATTGCGCAGGTGCTTAGTTCATTCCCGCCCAATATTTTGTTTAAGCGGGATTTGATTGGCCCCCATCTTACGTCATGTCATAATCTTTTATCCCGTCTGGATTTGATCAATTTGACACAAGGTTGGGATGTGTTTCCCTGAAACCTTACTGCATCGGGGTCTTCCACAGTAGACTCTATGTACCGTGCGCTCACACATTCTGAGGTACCAGTGAGTAATAACAAGAAAATTTGGAAGTCAAAGATTCCACTAAAAGTTAAAATCTTCATGTGGTATCTTCGTAGGGGAGTTGTTCTAACCAAAGATAACCTCACACGGCGCAACTGGCTAGGGAGTAAGAAGTGTTGTTTTTGCACTCATGAAGAGAAAATCAAACACCTCTTTTTCCAATGCAAGTTTGCACGTTCTATATGGTCAGTCATCCAAATAGCGTTAAATTTGTATCCTCCCACAAGTGTCGCCAATATTTTTAGTCATTGGTTGGATGGTATTCCAAATAGGTTGAAAACGCTAATAAGGGTGGGAGCGTATGCCTTACTATGGTAGCTTTGGCTATGTAGAAACGATTTGGTTTTCAATAAAAAATGCTTCTCCTTTGCATGTTATTTTCCGTTGTACGCACTCGCTTCATGCGTAGTCTACGCTACAACGAGTTGAGTACCAACCGCTGTTCAAAGCGGTGTGTACGCGGTTGAAACAGGTGGCTACGGAGGTTTTTACCCAACATGGGTGGCAGCATAATCTCCGGATCGGTCCACCACCCCTTTCGACATAGGCATAGTGTCGGTCCATATGACTCTACTGTCGTCCATTTGTCATCTTTTTTCTTCTTTTTATCAGACTTTAGGTGATTGGCTGTGTGCATCTTAGTTATGCAGAGGCCGGGTGTTACTCATAATGCTTTGTATCCTCTTGATGTTACTTTTTGAGATAATAAAAGCGTCTTTTATCGAAAAAAATTGTATGTTTTTGAAATCATTGGTTCATGACTCTGTTGTCCGTGTTTATTTCGTTGCTAATACTATATGGGTGAAGAGAGGAAAGCTGGATGGTCAGAGAGGTAGAGCAAAGCTAGCTATGTACATGCAACAACACGGGGCAACACGCATATGCTTTATAACTACGGATCATGATCATGTAGGTTATATGATTCCAGAAGGATACATCTTTCTTCTAGCATTAATCCCACGGTTCATTTTCTCTGTCTGATCAGAATTGAGGTGGGATGTTTCCTTCCACGTGTACCCATCAGCCAGTGGTTATACCATACGTTGTGAATAGGTACTCACACCTAACTAAACCGCCAAGAAGCCACACAATCTTTAGATAGAGTGGAGTCTGTGAAGGTGTGATTCAATGGTCACTACCATTCAACATCTAATATGCTTCATCGAGGACCAAGAGGGATGAGTGTGGACGAATAGTAAAATCTTCTATACATCTCATGGGTCCTTCCTTCATCTCTGTTAGACAATCCTAAATTACTTGTGCAATTGCATATACGTTCTGGTGGTAACAAATCGAGTTGTCTTCCATAGTTCTATTGTATCCATAGGCAGTGTCCAATGGTTTCAATTTCTTATCCAGGATCTTCTTGCAGAATGAAACTTCGAGTACTTGAAATTTTGGTGTATACCTCCCTGAACTGGTATTTTCACACAGGGAACTCTATGTTGCTCTTTCTAGAGCTACATCTAGAAGTAATAAATATTATCTCAGATAAGCAAAATGAAGTAATAATTATTGTTGCTATTTTGTTTGCATTTACTATTCACTCATATGCATGAATGCTCGCGAACAAAATTGAATATCCGGAGAAAGATATCGATATTTATTACAAAAAAGATGAACCGACATAGGTCAATTTGAACACATACATAGAAAAATAAACCTTTTTTTCTGTTCCGTGCAAGGCACGAGCATCTTACTAGTTAGGAACTTTAGAGATGGACAAAGTAGAACTCAGGGCCTATAGTTGCAACTTATTAAAGCTATGTATCTGCAAGGCCACCCCTTCCTTGCTCATGATCTGCGGGAGGGACCCTAGTTTACCTAATTGGATTTCCAAGAAATTTCTAGATTTCAGACCATCCATCCATGGGCATACAATAATGTTCTGGCTAGGCGTTGCAAGCAGCCCGTACTTACCAAATATATTATGCATCTATCACATCGATAGCCGTCTGTGGCATGATTCTGTATTGAAACATGATTGATTAGAGTAATTGATCGTCAAAGCTTAAACAGCTAGCACATGAGGACAACATATGCTCAGGCCTTTGCACGACCAGATGAGTAGTCAAGTTCATACTACCTGCTTGTTGTACGTAGCTCTGGAATCTTCTCTCTCTTGGACGGGATTATAATTTCTACATGGCCCGAACTGTACGATACATTGAACTTTTCCGTTGGTCTTGCATCTGTTTGTTAGCGGGGGATGCATCCTCACCTTCAACCAATTCGCCAAGAAAGTCTAGCTGAGGGAGGTGTTCAGCTTTGATGGCTTGACATTTTCGGCCTGGAGGCTGGAGCGGAGGGTGATTACTCATCTTTCCATCCACGAAGACCCCACGCAAGGGCCAAAGATCATCTCCAAGGTGTACAACTTCGAGAAGGGCGTCATCGACGGCGAGCGACAAGCTCGCGACCCACGGGAGCGCCTCACGCGCCCTATCGAGCACCACAGGTGTGACCGCGATGACGACCCTGGATGCGGCCGTGGCGACGGGGAGAGCCGCGGATGCGACAACTCGCGAAGCCGCGAGGGCTGGGGCGACCGCATCAGACATAGCCTCTCTCGCCAGCCATGGAATGCATCGCGCGACACCCGCCGCGATGAGGGGCGCGATGGCCGCCGCGATGGTGGAGGCCGTCGTCGCTCTGCCGAGCCAGCCGTCGATGCTCAGCCCTCCTTGGTGCTTCTGGGATCCGGCTCTGGCAGTGAAGACGCTGCCCGCGGCCTGGAGTTGCTCCCGGTGTAGGCCCCTCCTCTGCCTGCTCCTAGGCGTGGCCGCAGCCCGGCACGCCAGCTTTCGCCACGCTTGGCGCGGCGTCGTTCACAGGAGGCCCGCACGCCGCCTGCCTCCCCTCCGCTGTCGTCAACGACAGTGCTACCACCACCGCCTCGGTCCAAAAGAAGTGATGACCGCCCATCCCCGCTCTCGCAGGGGCGGCCAAGCCAAGTGCTGCTCCGCCTCTGTGCATCAGACTCTCTTCAGGCGCCGCTGCTCTCGCCCGCCAAGCCGCCTGGCTTCGAGGCCTCCCCGACGCCTCCACTTGTTTCCAACGGCCCTTTGTGGCGCACGCCCTCGCCGATGCGGCTGCGAAGGAAGGCTGCGGCGGGTGGTGTCGTTGGCTTGCAGTGCCTAGCGCCCCTCTTTGAAGACCATCAGGAGGCTGTCCTCCCGACCCCTGCTCCAAGTCAAGGCGCCGACGGCTCGTCGGAAGACCATGGCTGGAATCAACATAGCCAAGACCGGCGGTGGGTTCTCCATCAGCAAGCCTACGTCTGGTGCTCGCCCCAAGTCAGCCCCGGCAGCCAGGGTTGCCGAGCTCCTCGTGTGCCGCAGCTTGGGCATTGTCAAAGATAGGGAAGACGTCACTGCCGTTGCGTTGGATGCGTTCGCGGACCGCTTCAAGGACCAGCTGTCGCCGGACGTGATCGTGGCCATGCGTGGGCTGTTCAAGCTTGATGACAGCAGCGCAGTGGATGTCGAGGAGGCCCTCATAGCACATGGTGGGGGAGGTGCTCTTGACCTGGTGCAGAACGGCGTCGACGCTGTGGCGCAGCTGGAGGCAAGCTGAGCTTTCGCTGCTTCTGCTCAAATTGGGTTCCCAATTTCCTATGTTAGCAAAGATCATGTCCCTGTACGTGTTTGGTCCATGTGTAAGGGCACTAGCTGTTCTGCAAGCATGCTAGTTGTAGTCGGCCTATGGCCATGTAATCTTTGGGTTGACTCCGTTAGTGTATTCGGAGGGCCAGGCTCTGTTGTTATGCCATGCATGGCATGTGGTTTGCATCCTGGTTGTATCAGTGATGCTCTGAACTTTGCTAGTTCTTCTACATCTGCGTCTATCAGATGGCCAAGCTCCAGGGTGTTTCCAGTTATATAATGCTAGAGCAACCGTTTAATTTTCTGAGCTGGAATGTGAGGGGGCTGAACTGCCCAAATCGGCGCTCCACTGTCAACGCCACGATCGCCTCTAAGTTTTGCCATGTTGTTTGCCTACAAGAAACCAAGCTCGACAGCATCGATCAGTTCACGGCCGCCTTTTTAGGCGGGCAGAGATTGCGCAATTTCACGCAAAGACCGGCAATTGGCACTAGGGAGGCATTTTGCTGCTCTGGGATGATTAATAACCCACAAGTATAGGGGATCGCAACAGTTTTCGATAAGTAAGAGTGTCGAACCCAATGAGGAGCTAAAGGCAGAACAAATATTCCCTCAAGTTCTATCGACCACCAATACAACTCTATGCACGCTTGACGTTCGCTTTACCTAGAACAAGTATGAAACTAGAAGTACTTTGTAGGTGTTGTTGGATAGGTTTGCAAGATAATAAAGAGTATGTAAATAAAAAGTAAGGGTTGTTTAGATAAAGAAACAATAAATGAAATATAGCGAGTGTGGAAAAGTGGTGGTAGGAGTTGCGAAATTGCCCCTAAGCAATTGACTACTTTACTAGACCGATAACAAGTATTATGTGGGAGAGGCCACTGCTAGCATGTCATCACTGACTTGGAATTCTATGCACTTCTGATTGGAACTATTAGCAAGCATCCACAACTACTAATGTTCATTAAGGTAAAACCCAACCATAGCATTAAGATATGAAGCTTCTATCACTCTAGCCCTCCAATACATAGTCCTATCAACATACAACTAACCCTAGGGGGTGATCCACGCGCGCAATCATATGATGGGCACCAAAGGACAGCAACATAACCATAAGCAAATTAAATCAATTATAGCAATTCATCAACCACCGATAGGACAATGAAAATCTACTCAGACATTATAGGATGGCTACATATCATTGGATAATAATATGAAGCATAAAGCACCATGTTCAAGTAGAGGGTATAGTGGGTTGTGGGAGAGTGGACCGCTGTAGATAGAGGAAGGAAGGTGATAGAGATGTTGGTGAAGATGGCGGAGGTGTTGGTGTAGATCACGGTGATGATGATGGCCCCCGGTGGCACTCCGGTGCCACCGGAAGCGAGGGAGAGAGAGCCCCCCTCCTTCTTCTTCTTCCTTGACCTTATCCCTAGATGGGAGAAGGGTTTCCCCTCTGGTCCATGATCTCCATGGTGTGGGAGGGGCGAGAGCCCCTCCGAGATTGGATCTGTCTCTCTCTGTTTCTGCGTTCCCAGATTCTTCCCTTTCACCATTTCTTATATTCCTGGAGATCCATAACTCTGATTGGGCTGAAATTTTAACACGATCTCTATCCGGATATTAGCTTTCTTGCGGCGAAAGAAGGGCATCAACCGCCTTACGGGTGGCCCACGAGGGTCAGGGGCGCGCCCCCTGCCTCGTGGCCACCTCGGGCACCGTCTCGCGTGGATTTTTCTTCCCAAAAATCATATGTATTCCAAAAAAATCTCCGTCAATTTTTATCCCGTTTGGACTCCGTTTGATATGGATATTCCGCGAAACAAAAAACATGCAACAAACAGGAACTGGCACCGGGCACAGGATCAATATGTTAGTCCCAAAAATAGTATAAAAAGTTGCCAAAAGTATATGAAAGTTGTAGAATATTGGCATGGAACAATCAAAAATTATAGATACGACGGAGACGTATCAGCATCCTCAAGCTTAATTCCTTCTCGTCCTCGAGTAGGTAAATGATAAAAAAGATTTTTTTTGATATGGAATGCTACCTAGCATAATCTTGATCATGTAATCTAATCATGGCATGAATATTAAGATACGAGTGATTCAAAGAAATAGTCTACCATTTGACATAAAAACAATAATACTTCAAGCCCACTAATAAAGCAATCATGTCTTTTCAAAATAACAAGGCCAAAGAAAGTTATCCCTACAAAATCATATAGTCTGGCTATGCTCCATCTTCACCACACAAAATACTCACATCATGCACAACCCCGATAACAAGCCAAGCAATTGTTTCATACTTTTGATGTTTTCAAACCTTTTCAACTTTCACGCAATACATGAGCGTGAGCCGTGGACATAGTACTATAGGTGGAATAGAATATGATGGTGGAGAAGACAAAAAGGAGAAGATAGTCTCACATCAACTAGGCGTATCAACGGGCTATGGAGATGCCCATCAATAGATATCGATGTGAGTGAGTAGGGATTGCCATGCAACGGATGCACTAGACCTATAAGTATATGAAAGCTCAAACTGAAAGTAAGTGGGTGTGCATCCAACTTGCTTGCTCATGAAGACCTAGGGCATTTGAGGAAGCCCATTGTTGGAATATACAAGCCAAGTTCTATAATGAAAAATCCCACCAGTATATGAAAGTGATAACTCAAGAGACTCTCTATATGAAGAACATGGTGCTACTTTGAAGCACAAGTGTGGTAAAAGGATAGTAACATTGCCCCTTCTCTCTTTTTCTCTCATTTTTTTTCTTTTTTTTTCTTTTTTTTTCTTTTTTAGGCTTCTTTGGCCTCTCTCTCTCTTTTATTTTTTTGGGGCTTCTTTGGCTACTTTTATTTTGATAACCTCACGTGGGACAATGTTCTAATAATGATGATCATAACACTTTTATTTACTTACAACTCAATATTACAACTCGATATCTAGAACAAAGATATGACTCTATATGAATGCCTTCGGCGGTGTACCGGGATGTGCAATGATATAGCGTAGCAATGACATCAAAAAGGACAAGCCATGAAAACATCATGCTAGCTATCTTACGATCATGAAAAGCGATATGAAATGAATGCTCAAGTCATGTATATGATGATGATGAGAGTTGCATGGCAATATATCTCGGAATGGCTATGGAAATTTCATGATAGGTAGGTATGGTGGCTGTTTTGAGGAAGGTATATGGTGGGTTTATGGTACCGGCGAAAGTTGTGCGGTACTAGAGAGGCTAGCAATGATGGAAGGGTGAGAGTGCGTATAATCTATGGACTCAACATTAGTCATAAAGAACTCACATACTTATTACAAAAATCTATTAGTCATCGAAACAAAGTATTACGCGCATGCTCCTAGGGAGATAGATTGGTAGGAAAAGACCATCGCTCGTCCCCGACCGCCACTCATAAGAAAGACAATCAATAAATACCTCATGCTCCAACTTCGTTACATAACGGTTCAACATACGTGCATGCTACGGGAATCACAAACCTCAACACAAGTATTTTTACAATCCACAACTACCCACTAGCATGACTCTAATATTACCATCTTTATATCGCAAAACTATTGCAAGGAATCAAACATATCATATTCAGTGATCTACAAGTTTTATGTAGGATTTTATGACTAACCGTGTGAATGACCAGTTCCTGTCATCTCTCTAAATAGATATAAGTGAAGCAAGAGAGTTTAATTCTTTCTACAAAAGGTATGCCCACACTCTAACAAATCTAAGTGAATCAAAAGAACATTCTACAAATGGCGGTTGTCTATGTAAAGGGAAACATGCAATCCAAACTTCAAATGATATAAGCGAAGCACATGAAGCATTCTATAAAGCCATACTCAAAAGATATAAGTGAAGTGCAATGAGCATTCTATAAATCAACCAAGGATTGTCTCATACCAGCATGGTGCATAAAAGAAAAGTGAAAACTAAATGCAAAAGACGATTCAAGATTGCACATATCGCATGAACGAAACGAATCCGAAAACATACCGATACTTGTTGAAGAAAGAGGGGATGCCTTCCGGGGCATCCCCAAGTTTAGACGCTTGAGTCTCCTTGAATATTTACTTGGGGTGCCTCGGGCATCCCCAAGCTTGAGCTCTTGCCTCTCTTCCTTTTTCTCATATCGAGACCTTCTCGATCATCGAACACTTCATCCACACAAAACTTCAACAGAAAACTCGGTAAGATCCGTTAGTATAATAAAGCAAATCACTACTCTAAGTACTGTTGCAAACAAATTCATATTTTGTTTTTGCATTTTTTCTACTGTAGTATAACTTTTTCATGGCTTAATCCACTGATATGAATCGATAGTTTCATCAAAACAAGCAAACTATGCATCAAAAACAGAATCTGTCTAAAACAGAACAGTCTGTAATAATCTGAACATTCACCATATTTATGTTACTTGAAAAATTCTACCAAAATTAGTAAAAATAAAAAATTTGTATAGGAAGACAGTGCAAAAAAAATCAGAACCATATGACGTTCCATCAAAAAATGTAAAATCGCGCACTACAGCCAAAGTTTCTGTCCTGCACCGTGAAAACCATCAAGCAAATGTAAACATCCTAAAGGCAAACCTTGGCACATTATTTTTATAATACAATGGAATTGTACAAGGGGATAATTATTTTTATTGAAAAGTTTATGTAATCAAGATTCACAAAGTTTCCATGAGCATGAGCAAAGTTCAAGGCTAGCTCCTACTTCAACAATGCTTGTCTTTCTCACTTTCGCTTTCCTTTTTGAAAAAGTTTTGGGTTTCCCTCTTTATTTTTGTTGTTTTTAAACTATATAAAAGCACTCAACAGAAATAAATGACTCTTAAAACTTCCGGGTTGTCTCCCTGGCAGCGCTTTCTTTAAGGCCATTAAGCTAAGTATATAGTGCTCAAGTAATGGATCCACCCGGATCCCAAGGTATATCAAAG